ACTAGTACCATATACTTCTCTTTAAATGGAAAAATAAACCAGAAGGTAGGACTTTAGAAATTTTTGCTATAAAGAAATATCAAATATTTGAAAAGATAGAATTATTATCCCTGATGGGAAATTATGCAATGTACACATGTATAAAACATCCACATAGTACTCCATACATAGGTACAGCTTTGACATACTTATCCATTAAAATAAAAAAAAATCTGTAGGAGTTGAGTATTTGGCATAGGAGTGAGACATTGCCACTCAGGACAAACACATCCCTTTACCAGGATTGCTTGAATCTGAGTCCTGGCTCCACTCTTCAATCCAGCTTCCTGCTATTTCACACTCTGGAAAGCAGTAGGTGGGTCCAGTAGCTCAGTAGTGGGTCCAGGCTATTCGCATAAGAAATCCAAATTGAGTTCCCAACTCCCAGTTTTGACATGACCCAGTCCTGACTGTTGTGGCCACTCCAAAGTGAAACACAAACAGCAGATGTAAGTTACCTGCTCTCTCTCTCTCTCTCTCTCTCTCTCTCATTACACTCCTGCCTCTACCTCTACCCTTCCCATTCTGCCTGAGAAGGGCTTCTATTTATTTCCCAGGAAGCGAGACACAGTCCTTGCATCCTTCCTGCTCCATGGTTTACAGTAACAATATTATATGCCCAGTTATGCAAGTTTTCATTCCTGCATACCTACAAACTTCTATTCTTATACTAGTTCCCAGCTCTTCAAATGAAAACCTGAATTTCCATACCTTGGTCTCTGCTTTGTTCTTTCAAAAGTCAAATCTGCTTTTCCTTCACCTAAAATAATAGATGTTCTACCTTCAATGGTTGCAGAACTCCAGAGTAAAGAACATTCCTGTCTGATGAAAAAAATGCATCAGACAGAGCTTCAAAAATAGCATCTCCCTTGATATGTAAATATTACTATCGAAGTTCCACTTATGGCCCCAGACCCATTCTATTTTCATGTTAAATTGTAGGTCTATTAAATACTCAAATGTCTGCTATATTTCCAGTTTTATTCATTGTCTGACACTTTCTTCTTCCAAATTCACCTCTAAAGGTGAGAAAAACTATGAGAACTCAATGTCTGCTCCCCTTTGGAGAAGGGGAGACTGTGGAATGAATGGAAAGCAGGGAAGTGGAAACTTATGGTTAGGATAAGAAGGTTTGGCTTTGTTTTAGAGGCATAGAAGGAAAATACAGGAGAGGGATGAAAAACTTCCAAGGTCAAGAGTTTAAAAGTGAGACAATCCAGAGCATATAATCAGTTCTGAAGAGAAGAATGTATATATACAGCAGGAGGAGATGGTGAAGAGAATAGTCTTACAAATTCCCTCCCAGTGGGCTCTGAGCATCTACTTACTGGGAACAGAGGTAGCACATTAATTTTAGCAACTGGCCAAGAGCAAGTGGAAAGAGGCAGGGAGATCCTGAAGAAGTTGGCAAGGTTGCAGCATGTTCTTCTGCGATTTGCTCCAGTCCGATGATACCCACTGAAGTGGCAGGTGATTGCCTGGATCCAGGAGTTCAGAGAATGATTGCACCATTCTCTGGCACTGACCTAAGAGTCAGTGGTGCTGGCCAGAGCAGGAAAAGTCTCAGAGCTGGAAATTAAGAGAGGCAACCTAATACTCTTTGCCACCACTAACTTATGGGATAAATTCAGTAAGCCAGGTTTCTTTTGTAAGTCTTGGGTTCTTTCACTATGTAATGGGAAGGTAGATGAACTAGGGGATCGAAGCTGGGGGTGGAATGGGAGCTAAGTTACACAATACTCTTCCTGGGAACTGACCCAGGTCTCTTCATTGAAAATTGCAGTCCGTCATAGGATATAGGACTGAAAGTAGCATGAAGTAAGAAGTGCTCTTAACTGGAACCAGGAGACATGTAATCCTGCTCAGGCCACAAGCACATCCTGAGAAGGATGTAATGGGTGATTTGCTTGGATTGTTTCCTTGTGATGTGTCTCTACCTGCTACCCCAAGTCCATGGGAAACAGTGGACTGATGGTCACCTGTGTGGGTCTTCAGTCCCACAGAATTCAAGGGAAGGCTTCTAGACAAAAAAAAATTTCTAGATAGAACCTGAAGAATTTTAATTGGTCAAAATGCTTTCATTTGCAAGTAGCAGAAACTCAACATGCACAGCTTCAGGAGCATAACTAAAAAGACTTTATCAAAGGGCTTCTGGTAAGGTTATATCAAAGATCTCAAATATCAGGACATAATGTCTTGCTTTTGCTGTCATCTCGGGGTCCACATTCTTTAGGTTAGTATCGTTCTCCTCGGTGGACCCTCTGTAAACTACCCAGCCAGATCTGAGATTGCAGTCAATAGCTTAGCAACCCAGCAGAGCAACTTTCCCTTTCCCCATTATGTTTAGCAAATTCCCAAGCACATTCTCACTGGGCTAACTAAGGTCACATTCCCAACTCTGAGCCACTGCTGTGAACATTCCTACCACTGAAACACATTCCTAGCCTTGAAATAAGAGGTGAGGTCAGGTCAGCTTGGCCTGCACAGACTAACTATAGGAAAATAACTGTAGACACTAAGGCAAAATTAAGGTGCTATTGATGGGGAGCTGGCACCTTAACTTTTTTGGGGTTTTTTTTTTATTGGCTTCTTTTTGATCATCAAAGTTGCCTTTCATCTTTGCAGTGACAATAGCTTTTTAGAATATTTCTTGCACTAATTTCTTTTTTTTAATATATTTTTATTTTGAATTAGGTACAATTTCGCGTAGATTGGGATTCCCCCAACTCCCAACTCCCATCAGATTTTTCCCATTTTGTTACAATACTGTAGTCCTTCATAAGGAATCATAATTCTATCAGTCTCTTATTTAAGTGTACCCTGACATTGTTGGTACAGACAATGTCAGACATTCCAACATCCCATTGTCTACACGTGCCCAACAGTTTCATTAGGATTCCATCTTTTGTCTGGATGCAGGGATGCATGTTCTGTTATACCCCCAGGTCTGTATATGATACACCCCAGTACTCCATCACTATACATCACCATAAGTGAGAAGCCATGAAACAAGGTCAACAACTGGTATGAGTTAGAACAGCCACAACAACAACATCAAGAACAAATTACAGTACCATGAAAAAAAGAGTGCCACTGAGTAACCAACACTTGAGTGACAAAAAAGGGAAGACAGAAGTCTCTTAGGAAAAATGATGCCATCGTATAATTCATGAGTCCATGATGAATTCAACTAGAGAAAAGAGATTATTTGGAATGAACCACACTGAAATTAAAAAGACATCGAAACACATGGGATACAATCAAAAGCAAACAAACAATCAAAAAACAGTATGGATTGGACTATTAGAGTTACATTTTCCATGTTGGTTTCCTTATATAAGAGAGAATATATGGTATTTGTTCTTATGTGATTGACTCATTTCACTGAGCATAATGGTCTCTAGTTGGGACCACCTGGTTGTAAATAGAATAATTTCATTCTTCTTAATAGGTGAATAATATTTCATGGAGTAGATGTACCACAGTTTCTTTAACCACTCTTCCTTGGACACACATCTGGATTATTTCCATGTCTTTGCTATTGTAGATTGTGCTGCTGCAAATATAGGATTACAGATCCCCTTCTCACATGTATATTTCACCTCTCTTAGTTATATTCCTAGGAGCAGGATAGCTGGGTCATATAGCAGGTTTATTTGCAATTTTCCAAGCACTCTCCATACTGATTTCCACAGTGGTTGTACTAGCCTACACTCCCATCAGCAGTGAAGGAGGGTGCCTTTCTCCCCACATCCACTCCAGCAGGTGTTGTTAGTAACCCAGGTTCTTATCTCCTACAGAGATAAGAATTCTTTTTTTTTTTTTAAGATTTATTTTTATTATTTTTTATTGGAAAGGCGGATATACAGAGAGGAGAGACAGAGAGGAAGATCTTCCGTCCGATGATTCACTCCCCAAGTGAGCCGCAACGGGCCGATACTATGCCGATCCGAAGCCAGGAGCCTCTTCCGGGTCTCCCACGCGGGTGCAGGGTCCCAAAGCTTTGGGCCGTCCTCAACTGCTTTCCCAGGCCACAGGCAGGGAGCTGGAAGGGAAGCGGGGCTGCCGGGATTAGAACCGGTGCCCATATGGGATCCCGGGCGTGCAAGGCGAGGACTTAACCACTTGCGCCACCGCGCCGGGCCCCAGAGATAAGAATTCTAAGCAGAGGCAGAGCACATGGCCAGACCACAGTCAATCTGAAGCCAGGAACTGGGAGCTTCTGGGCCTCTCATACTGATGCAGCGTCCCAAGAACTTGGACCATCCTCTATTGCTTTTCCAGTTCATAAGAGTCAGATTGGAAGTAGAGCAGCTAGGACACAAAAGACCACACAAAAGGGGTACTGGCACTTGTAGGCAAAGAATTAACCAACTGAACCATTTGTGTCAGCCCTCCAAAGAACAGTATTTATTTTAAAATGAGAGTGATTAGATATTCACAGATTATGGTGGGCTGTAAAATAAGGAGAAATATCTCCTTGTGAGTAAACCAAGGGTTGCTTAAATACTAAGAAACAGAGAGATTGCCTGAATATCACCCCCAGTCATGATCAGGGGAAAAGCAGGGCTCTCCTACATTCACAACCTCCTTTATGGGACTGGGGTTGAGGAAGCTTAAATGAACAAGCAAACAGAGTGGGCTATTTTATGGCACCTCCATGTGGAGTTTAATATGCATGTGGCCGTCATGATGGTGTCACCTTCCTGGTCCTAGGAAGATGGGTGTTTTAGATTTATGGGCAAAGAGATCTCATTATGCTGCTGCTAAGCTGGCAAGAATTCCAGATCATCTAGGCCTAACTAGCTGCCTGCCGATTCATGCCATATCACTTACTAGAAAGGGCAATGGACACTGGGAGATGAAATATTACAGATGTTTTTACCAGGGTGATGGGTAATAAACTGGAAACCTGGCGAGGAGCCAGTTGTGTGATCTTTCCCTCCCTCCCTTGGATGCAGTGTGTGGTCTTCCCAAGTTCTCCCGGACACTGATGGCCAGGATCTTTAATGGACGCCCAGCTCAGAAGGGTACAACACCCTGGGTCGCCATGCTGTCACATGTGAATGAACAGCCCTTCTGTGTGGGCTCCCTGCTAGGTAAGGAAAAGGTGGATGGGTTGGGAAATCCAAGCTGGGGTTGGAGTGGGAATTAGGGGACACAACACTTTTGCTGGGGAGTGACCCAAGTTTCTTCATTAAAAATCACTGTCCATCGTAGGATCTGACACTGAGAGTACTATAGAGAGAAAGCTGTCTTAACTGGAAGCAACAGACACGTGAGGTTGCTCAGGCCACACACTCTGAATCCTGGGAGTGTTGGCACAGAGAAGGACTACGTCAGAGGGGGTAGATTCTCCCACCTGAATGACAGCACAGGACACTGAAATGTGGCCCTGAAGCAGTATGCCCGAGGACTGTGAAACAGCCCTGAAACAGTGTACCTGAGGGCTGTGAGATTCAGAAAAACTCATCCCTGAAACAGTGTGCCCAAGCATTGTGAGAACCAGGAAATCTTGTCCCAGGAAAGCAAGAAAAGGAAGGTTCACAAGGCCTTCAGGGTCCTTCTTAGGAATTTGGGTCTCATCCTCAATGCTATGGCAGCTTTATAAACACCTACTGAAAAGTTCTTTCCAGAGCTTAAACAAATTTAAGGAATTTAATGAGGTGGTTATTATAAGAGTGAAGGAGAGAAGCCATTAGTTGCAAAATGAGAACAGGGCAGGAGGATGAAAATAAGGAAGCAGATTCGAAAGTGAGGGAAGCTCTGCTTTTGATTGCAGTGGGAGCAAACACGGAGGATTGGATGGATATCCCTCCAACATTCTGATTTGGATGAGCTAAGGCCAGGTCTAGACCTGAACCCTTCATAAGAAAAGTCCTGGGTGGCTTCACCTCCAAGTGGGCAGCTCCTAGGCCATTAGACACACCTCTCACTCAGCCTCATCCTCCTCCAGATCAGTTAGTGTGGACAGCATCTTGGAGAGGTAGCAACCAGGAATATGTGAAAGGGCTACTGGAATACATGAAACCTTAGCCCGTGAAGAACTGATCCTACTATGGCCACAAGTACACGGAAGAGTGCTCTCACTCAATAGGGCCTCCCAAAGATGCCAGGAGCAGTGAGAGGAAGATATGGGTAGCCAGATAAGGCTGAGGGGGGTGCAGGGTACAGAGGGTAGGGAGAGGACTAAGAGAGAGAAGGGGCAGAGCAATCAACAAGGAGTCAGGGACAAAGACAGAGCTGGGCACATAGCAAGATAGAAGACCAAAAGAAAGACAGTGAACAACCTGAGAGATTCAGAAAATGACAGCAGCTTCTAAATTATTGAAGAAAGAGAACAAAAGAGAATAATGTAACAGGCAGAGAAAAGCTGGTAAGAGATGTCTCAGAGAGAAGAGAGGCTCAGGCAGGAGGGAGGGAAAAACCAGAGGGAAGCTTCAGAGAAAAGGAGGAAAATGCAGCCAGAGCCAAGCAGGGACCAATGCTTCCCCAGATGCTCATGATGCTGCTAGAGACCCTGGGAAACAAGTGGGTCAGTGCCTAGCACTGTAAGAACCCTATTTTTCTCAAACCTTGAGTTTGTTAAATTCTAGAAGTTTCTACATGCATGTTTATTTATTTCCTGTTTGTTCACTGTGGCTTAGATTTGGACCAGGTTTGAGAGATGTTTAAAGTTCATCTTTCTGCCCTCAGTCAAGCTACAATCTCCCTTGCACCTGGCCCTCCCCACAGTTCTCTTGGCCTACAATCTCTTTCCTTCTGTGATTCAGTCAAAAGGTTGAGGAGTAGAGGAAAGTGAACTAGGAAGAAAGCTGAAGAACAGAGGAAGGTGAGACATGGGCTGGACAGAGCTGGGACAGAAGCTACATCTCAGGACTGACCATTGTATGTCCCAGGGTTTATCTAGACAACCCAGAGCTCTGCCCTGGGCCAGTTTCCTATCCTGGGTACTTTAGCCCACCTGATCCACCTGGAAATGTCTGACTGAAAGATCATGCCCTGGCCAGAGATCAAAATGTCTCAATGGGCAAGAGTTGCCATGGAACTCTCTAGAATCTGGGGGCCAGAGTACACAGTTCTTAAAGGACCAAGGATCCTGGCAACTTGCTCCAGAAAAGCATCCATGCCCTTAACTCTCAACTATGACCTGATGGCCCACACCACCACCTCTCAAAACCTAGAGTCTATTTTTCATCTACACTAGTCTTGGGTATGCCTGTGGGCTCAGCTACTTATGGTCTTGTCTGTCACTCTCCCAAGGGATGAACAAGAAGTCTGACCCTCTATGAAACACATGGCAGAAAACTTCCTGGCCAAGGGCAGAAGGCAACAGAGACACAATCATGCACTGTGCATACCAACAGGAATCCTGGGGTCTGCCCTTGCCCTTTCTCTAATCTACTAGAGAACCTTGGTTCTGTCTGCTTTTTTCCAGGCCTTAGGGTTCACTTCTATAAATAGGAGCTGGTTCCCATTACTCCTGGCAGCAGAGCAACCTGGGAAAATATTCAGAGCACACTGGTACCTGGACCCTGCAAATGTAGGCAGGCATGCATTCTAATTTCTTCTTGGTTTTTTTTGGTTTTTGGTTTTTTTTTTTTAGTCCTCCAGGGATTTGCAAGATACAACCAATGCAGCTCACTATTGATCATGTTGTTCAGGACATCTCAAGCTTTGATGGTCACGTGGACTACTTGGGGAAACTATGAAAGTGTGCATTCTGGCCTAGTGGGGCTGAAGCAGGGCCTAATAGCTTGCTTTTCCCAGATGCTCTGGGTGATGCTGATGCAACTGGCCCAGGGACCACACTAGCCAGGCCTGCAACACCCATGGCTTCAAGGAGACCTGACACCCTCTTTCAAACCTTCAGTCCTGGCCCAGGATTGGATGGGAAGTTTTACTGCTTGTCTTCTGATTAGAATCACTTAAGTATCAGACTTGAGCCATGAAATGTAATGACCACTTGCAGCATCTTGGGCCAGTTGGGGGATCCTGAGCTGGAGGCAGGATAGAGAAAGAGCAAGGCAAGGCAGTATACACGTGCGCTCTGTTCTCCAGGCTCCAGCTGGATTGTGACAGCCGCTCACTGCCTCCACCAGCCACTTGATCCAGATGACCCAACCTTGCACAACACAGACCTGATCAGCCCTTCAGACTTCAAAATCATCATGGGTGAGTGAAGGGTATGCTAATTCCTGAGGACAGTGGTGATTCTGAACCACCATTCCCAAGGCATGTCTGCTCACTCACTTGTTCACTCACCCACTTATCAGAGCAGGACACCTGGGCCAAAGATTCAGGAATCCAGAGTCAAATTCAAGCTTCTGGTAGTAGGGCTCTGGGCAAGTCACTGAAATCTAGGTTTCAGTTTCTACAAGGGGCCCAGTCTAGATCATTTCCGTAGTGCTTTCAGGCCCTCTGAATTCATGGTTCCTAACAAATCACTTATGTACCTCTCAGACCTCCCCAGCCCCTTTATAAAGTCAAGATCACAGCTGATTCAGCTCAATGCAACACGATATTTAGTCACTAATACTGTGCCCAGACCAAAGGACACAGTATAACGAAGTCATAGTTTCCTCCTACAAGGAGCTTGTAGTCTCACAAAGACATGAGATTTAAGTATTGCATTTCCTATGTAAAGCAGGAAGATCCAAAAGAAACAAGCAAAGGAAAGTAGCAGAATATGACCCAAGTGGGGCCCTACCACCCACATAAGAGGCCTGGGAGACCCAGGCTCCTGACTTCAGCCTGGCTGAGCTCTGGATGTTGTGGCTACTTGAAGAGGGAATTAACAGATAGAAACTGGGTTTCTCTCTGTCTCTCTCATTACATTATATAGAGAGAAAGGGATGGGGAACGCACCATAAGAATTCACAGGGAAAGATTTCATCCTTCATCATGGAAGAGACCTAGCACTGAATGGGGACAATATGAATGAGGCAACAGGCATATGAAGGATTATCCTAAGATGATGGGATCAGCTCATAAAGAACAGTAACTAACAGTGCAAGTTGAGCCACTGCCTACAGCACCTACATTGCATATTGATGTCAGTTCCACTTCTCATTATGCTTCCTGCTTATGCGCCCAGTAAAGCAGTAGGAGATAGTGTAAGTACTTAAGCCCCTGCACTAATGTGAGAGAGCCAGATGAAGCTATTGCTTCCTGGCTGTAGCCTGGTTCGAGTCTCAGCCCTTACAGCCATTTGGGGAATTAACCAGTGCATAGAAGACCTCTTTCTGTGTTTCTCTCATCTTTCCCCCTCTTTCTATAACTCCACCTTTCTGATAAAATGAAATTTAAAAACAAAAGAAAGAACAGCTGGGAATCTGTGAGAATATGTAGGGAATGGTAGGTTAGATGGGATGGCTGGGAAGAGCTGGGCAAAGGACAATGAGAGGATTGAGGGAAGACACCTAGGCTGGAGAGAACCAGGCACTAATAAACAGCAACGTAGGGTCTGATGCCATGTGTACCTTCTCCTTGCCCAGGCAAGCACTGGAGGCTCCGGTCAGATGAAAACGAACAGCAACTCAAGGTCAAACGCATCATCCTCCATCCCCACTATAAACCCAATACGTTTGAGAATGATGTGGCTCTAGTGGAGCTACTGGAGAGCCCGACGCTGAATGACTTTGTGATGCCCATATGTCTGCCTGAGGAGCCCCAGCAGGAAGGTACCTCCTCTTCTCCCTAACCCTCCCCAGATCCTGCCTCTGCCGAACAGCTGGTGCATCAGCAGGGAGTCTTCTTCAGCAGTGGGAAAACTTGGATGCCAGATGGGTCAGCTGACAGCATCTGCATGATTCCCCCAGCTGCCTGCCTGCAACTGCTAAGTTGGAACTGGTTCCCAGGTGGGAAAAATAGTGGCAGGCATGTGGCAAACAGGCAGGCCTAAGAGTCCTCAAAGAAAGCAAGAATCAGCTTAGTTACTAAGAGAATCGAATAGAGGGTGCTGAAGAACTGGGCAAGTTAAAGGGGAAAGCTGAGACAACAAAGATAATACCTTCAGGAAGAAAGCGTTATCTCTAGGTCTCAAGCAGCAAAAGTAAGGGGCGGGGGCTACAGAAGCAAAAAGCTTGGGAAAAAAATGCCCTTTGGAGCCGGATGTAGGTTTCTATAAAGCAGTTGAAGTACTAACACAAATATTTGCAGTCAGCTGCCCCTCCTAACATGAGAAATCTCTGTAGGGGTGAGGTCAACAGCAAGTCTCCAGTTCTTCCTGAAAACGCCCTTTGCTGTCAGGAAACCAATGAGTAGAGCAGAACTTTCAGTTCAGAGTCTCATTCCCAGGGTCCCAAAGCAGAGCAGAAGGCCAAGGCTGAAGCTGAGGAATAATAGCTTCCTAAGCAGCACAGGTGCAAATCTCACTGCCGTGATTTCCTATTTGGGTGATCTTGAGGAAGTCATTGAACATCTTTATGCCTGCATCACTTATCTCTAAACTGGAAACACTTTCCCGTGGGGCTGTTATCCCTTGTGATATTTAAATGGGATAATGCAAGAGGCTTTCCAAAAGTTCAAGGAATATTGTGTATTTCCTTTTCAATTCCTTTTCCCCTAAACATTATGGCATACTCTTGTATATTGAAATGTATTCAACAAAAAAAAAAAGCTCATTTGATAGGAATTGGCTTCTTCTGAATTCTAAATTCATAGTTCACTTCCTTTATGTATGTATTTAAGGAAAAGGCAAGTTGGCTGGGCTGGAATCTGAGAAGTGTCCAGGAGAAGTGAGCCAATGGGAAAGGCACAGAGAAAGCTGCTCTGACTCATTCACTGCATGCTATGTGCATCACACTGATTAACTTACTAACTACTCAAGAAAGTCTTGCAAGTAATACTCTAGCCTCATGTTAAAGATGAGCAAACCAAGGTTCAGCAAAGCAAATGACTCAAGATAGAGCTTATAGGAAACAGATCTAAGGATAGAGATCAAGTTTTCTGATTTGAAACCCAATGCTGTTTTAAGGATCCATACTGGTTTTTCAGCTAAGAAAATAATTGCTCTATCAGCCCTCCATGTGTTTCCATATTGTCCCTATATTTGCCAACTTCATAAATTTCTGGAGGGTCAGAACTGGAAGGGATATTAGAGAATACCAAGACCAATCTGTTCTGTTCAATTTTGTAGATAGGGAAAGTGAGTTTTACAATTAAGGAGAGAGGGAAAGACTGGCTCACAACAGTTTTTGACATGTCCGGACCCTTTATTTATTTACAGTTATTCCTTGAACCCCCACTATAACTACTACTTTACAGGCATAAAGATACAGCAGTGAACAGGATGGTGAGCTCACGACTCTCATGCAGCCCATATGCCATGCTAATCTGTGGGTGGAAGAGAACAGGCAACAAAAGAAATAATGCAGACCATACGCTATGGAAGCCAGCCCTCCTCCGTTCTGTTCTAGGATGCCACCAGCCCAGCAGCCTCTCCTATCTTCCTGCCCACTTTATATCCTTTCTCTGAGGGGAAATTCAACACTCCTTCCACAGGGAGAGGACACAGGTGCTGCCAGCTGCATTTTTCTGAAGGTCCCTCCGACAGCCTCTCCATCCTCACAGTGTCTTTTGTCCTCCAGGAGAAATGGTCCTCGTCAGTGGCTGGGGGAAGCAGTTCTTGCAAAGGTTCCCGGAGACCCTGATGGAGGTGAAGTTCAAGTTCTTCCCTATGGAGAAGTGACATTTAAACCTTAACACTGGACATTCCTGCTCCACAATGTCCCCTTAAGGGATTGGAGAATCGGCCAATGGAAGGGAGGGGTGACAAGGAAAACCCTGGGACTTAGACTCACCCTCAAAGTGTAACTGGCCTTTGAACCCCAAAAAGTTTGATTTTCTTGTTCCATATGTCCTGGGTTATAGTTACAAAACACCACTCAATATTCCTGGTAGCTTATTAGAGCCTACACTCATGAAAATTATCCCAGGAAACAGCAGTTTTGGACACCCAAAAGGCTCATGATTCATGTATTGACCAAACTATACAAGAATGGGTCAATCTCTTGAGAACCACAGTCCCAGCAGGAATGAACTTGACTATTGCATTTAGAAGTTCAAATTCCTATTGTTTCAGAAAATAACACTGATCTCAGCATACGGAGGCATGACTCTATGTCCTGACCCCTGCCAATTTACTCTAGATGACCCGAAAAAATTCATTTTGCCTTTCTAGATCATGATATATGAGCTTCACCTGCAAAGTTGGGACAACAGTCAATGTCCCCAGATAGCTGCCTGGTTCTCATGCCACCTGGTTCTGCGATGTTGCTAGTTTCTAAATCCTTCAACACATGTTATCTTAATATGCCCTAAAATTCAATTCTTGCCATAGCCACTCACCCTTCCTTCCTGAACTTCAGGTGTTTCCTTGGTGTCTCCATGTGCCAGACACTGCACTAGTTGTTGGGTATGCAGAGAGAGTGGGAAGATAGATTAGATGCTTGGCCTCCTTGGACTTGAAATCAGGTAGGACAAGTGGAATTTAGTGATGAGTGTAACAAAGGAGATGAAAGAGAAGTGTGGGATGCTCAAGACTGTGTTGGGGAACTTGATCTTGTCTTCTGGGTTCTAGAGGGTTTCCCAAAGGCAGTAACACTTGAATGATATCTGAGCAGTAAGAAGAGGTTGGTTGTTGCTCAATGGTTTGCTGAAGTCATCTCCTCATGCCCAGCCTGGCCTGGCTTCTACTCCTTATTCAACAAGGGAAGGTCATAGCCCAAGGAGGGTCAGCATGGCCCTTGGTTCCCTCCTAACAAGGGTCAGCAGAAGTTGGAATCCAGGGTATAAGGCCCCAGTTATCATTGGTTGGGCTAAATGAAACATGTATATGTCCTCTTTTTATTACAGGCACCTTCTCCAAGCATTTACCTTCATGCCGAATCAAGGCCACTAACTCTTACACAACCTTACTTATATGGAACAATTTATTGCCTAAATTTAAAAGCTCCTGAGTACTGGCTATTCTGCAAACAATGTAAGACAGAAAGGGACCAGAATATGGAGCCAGTGCCACACTCATACTTTAGTAAAGGGGAACACACAAGTGAAAGCTTGCTGCAAAGCAAACACAGAGAGCCCCCAAGCACCCGGTTTTCACACAGTGTGTTGCATTTATGGCGCTTGCTGTTTACTCCCTTTGGGCATGAACGCATGTGACTACAATGTCAAATTGTGTGCCCACCATACTTCATAAGGAAACAGAATCTCACAGTGCTGAAAATCGAGTATTCAGCTGCAGACCTGCATCTCATAGCACCAGGACCTCTCAATAGGGGTTGGGGAAACAGACACAGAGCCTTGGTTTCCTGCATATTTTTATATTGGAAATACCACAAATGCTAGGTAAGGACTGGCATTTCCATTTATAGATGAGGGCTCAGAGGCCCAGTGAGGACAAGTCATTTGTCTTGGGTCACACAGCACATTTGCAATGGAGACTGTGCTAGGTCCTCCACGGAGTAATGCCTTTATCTGTATCCTAGGGCAGTTTCTAGGACCAAGTCAAAGGTAAGATAGACCACAGCTAAGTGTGGGGCAAGGAGAGCCAGCTTCAGGACCACCAGAGCAACAGGGGATGCTCAGCCAGGCACAGGGATCATTACTTCCCTATATTCCAGGTTGAAATCCCAATCGTCAACCACCACATCTGCCAAGAAGCCTATGCCCAGATAAATAAGAAGGTGACCAGGGACATGATCTGTGCAGGGGAGAAGGAAGGTGAGTCCATGGGTTGCAAGGGTGGGACACACTGACACACCACGCCAGCTATACTTGGTATGGTCAGCAGTGGAAGGTTGATTGGCATGGAGATGGGGAGGAAGACAGACCAAGAAAGGTCATGAAGAGGACTGTCAATGGATTCCCATCCTTCCCTTCCCAGACCCCACTTATCTCTAAAATGGAAGAGGTCCTAAAGCAGAACTTTCTCAAGTCGCTTTGGGGCGCTGAGGAACCGAGTTGTGGCAAATGATCTGTGTGCCCTCTAGTGCCTACATCTCTTTACTACAAGTCTGATGTGGGTGGAATGAGCCCCCTACATTTGTGCTGGGCTGGCAAAGGGGTCATTTAATGTTGATATCTATCTATCTTTTTAATCTAGGGGGAAAGGATGCCTGTACAGGTGACTCTGGAGGCCCCATGGTGACCTTGGATAAAGAAAAAGGCCAGTGGTACCTGGTGGGCACGGTGTCCTGGGGTGAGGGCTGTGGGAAGAAGGATCGTTATGGAGTGTATTCCTACATCTACCACAACAAGGGCTGGATCCAGAAGGTCACACGTGTGAGAAATTGAGCAGGCCCACACCACCGGATGTGACTGTTCAACATCAGAGGATAACTTCCTGATGCAAGTGACCATTCTTTCTGTGTTCTTCATGTTCTCCTCTCCCCCTTCAACCCACCCAGTACTGGGCAATAAAGGGAACACCTCTGCTCCCTTCTCTTGCTCTTTAAAGAGGCAGAAGAGGACAGTGGTTAGACCCAAGGCTGAACATAGGCTCTAGTGCCTACACGGCGACCTATGTGACCTCACCTCTTTGAATCTCAGTTTCTCCATTTATCTATAACGGGTAAATGCCACCCTTTGCCTACCTCCCAGAAATCTGATGAGGACTAAATTAATCAATACATGCAGAGCACTCACACAGTGCATAGAATAAATGAAGTGTTCCATAAATGTGACTTAGCAGCAGTGGAATGTGTCTATGAATGGGCGAAAGTTATCTTGTAAAGTCCTGCCTGGTCCTTAGGGTGACTTGGTGGTACTTCTTTCCCTTAAGCTTTGCCCTTCCCACATGCTCTGCACTTCTCGGCCACTATGCAGTTTGACTGAGTCCAATCCTTGCCCTTCTCAGCAAAGAAGAGGATGTTCTTAGTCCTTGGCTTCTCCCATAGCAGCACAGTTAGGAGCATGAATCAGATACCAAATTGCAAGAGTGCTTGAGGAAAGCAGAGGATGGAGAACAGCAGGGAAGGTAACTTGGGAAGTTGGACACCTAGTTCCAGAAACAGCTGTGCCCCCTGTCTCCCTAGTCTCATCCTGGAGCTTTCACAGCTCTGACTCACTGCATAAGGAGCCCATCTTCTCTCCAACGACAAGTCATCACAAGGCAAACATTGTGTTAGGTTCAAAGAGATTCAGTGCAGTCACAATGTTATAGCTGCCCTCAGCACTGATTCCAGCCACCATACCTGGTATACCTGTTCTCCCAGGACATAGCCCAACAGAAGGACCAACCAGGGGAATCTTCCTTGCTCCTAAGCAAATACCCACCCTGGGACACAGCCTTTCTTGGGAACCTAAGCTGCACAGGTGGGTCCTGGCAGACTGCACTTCAGGGCCTGGTACTCTGCCTCCTTACATCCATAATTAACTCCAGGCAGCCAATAACTCTGACCTTCATTACCATGTAAGATTATGAATGTTTCCCAAGCAGAATGCATCTTTCATCCAAGAGTTCCCTCCCATCTTAGGAAGCTTCCCCTCCAGAGCAACGAGATAGAAGATCTTAAATGGGCAGGATCCCCAAATGCCTTGAGTCCCATCAGATTTGATCATTATGAAGGGCTTTAGGTCTTGATAAGCTTTCAGCTGCTGAAGCTTCCTGAGTCTCTCACTGAAAGAAGATAATGCAAAAGGAAAAGGAACCTACAGACAGGAAGCCCTAGACTAGCCACCCAGGCCATCCAAAGCCTGCCTGCAGTCATTTGTGATCAAGTCCGTCTACCTCTCTGTGCTTAGCTGTAGACCAGGGAAGGGAGGATGTCCATGTGGTCCAGATTCAACAGACACTCAGCAACCAAGCTGGAGCTCTGTTTCCAATGCCAAATAATTGTGATGCAAACGTTTGCAATTGCCCAAAGCAATTGCCCCTTCTACTGCCAGGCATGGTTGCCCTGCATGCCCCAAGTCTATGCTGATGGCTACAGGTACATATGAAGATACAGAGAGCATGATTCATGCCTCCCAACAGCTCCTTGTGCAAGGTGTGACACAGGCATACATGACTACCTTGTAACAGAATCACCCCCACAGGCTGCTGTGGAGGGAGAAGGAAGGCTATTCTGCCACGAGGTATTGCAAGTTGAACACCAGGAAGGCACCAGGAGGAGATGATTGAAGAGGATACACAGTTCCAAAGCTAGTACAGAGAGGAGTCCTCCACATAGAGGGAGAAGGAAAGTCCACACCCACTTTGGCTTTCCTCACGTTCTACGACTCCTCACACATACAAAAAAGGACAAACAAAAACCAGTCAACCATTATTCCAAAACCAGAGTTCATATCTAAATGAGGTTTTCATCTTAAACCAGTTAACTAAACAGGACTACAGCATTCTCAGGAGGTGTGCACAGATAGCATCTTCTGGATGGACCTACTTTATTTTGTTTATTCCTCAGCTTCAACTTCATCCTTAGTATGGAAAAAAAAATGGCTATGTGGCCATGAGCCTCATTCTTAATTCAAAGGCATGCGGTAAAGGTCCTAGTTCTTCCATTGCTGCCATGGTCCCAGGACACCGACTCTCTCACAGTCTGAGAAGCAGAGCACCAGAGCACCCATGATGACTGCTTTATTCTTGAATATTTGTAGGAATGAGGATCTCACTATTTCCAAATATGGCCCATTCCAAGTTTAAGACGTGCTACTCTCTAAAGAGGTTCTCTCTCCTGTACGACCAAAACAAACCTCCCTAGTATGTGGCCTGTAATACTGAAGCAATGATTTTATACCATGAGTGATGTTATTAGCAATAATAATCATGCCCAGATCTCATTAGCAGCTCAAGTTGTTGTTCTTATGGGAAACTACACATTTGGTCTAATAAACATCTGCCTTGAGTCAAAGCTCCTTGTTTGGCTTCTGTGTTTCTCATGCACTGATGATTCTGGTGAGTTGCTTTCATTTTTTCAACATCGGCCCTATTTGATCAGGATCATTGTACAAAGAGAGAGAGAGAGACTGACTATGTGGGAAAATCAGCCCAAGGCATGTTATGTTTTTCGAGTCAGTTCTGTTTATATATCCTGTCCTATTGTCCCTGTAAACCATCAAGATGCTCCACAGTGCCAACATCATAGCATCCAAATTTCATTTCTTCATTGCCAAACACTCTTAGAAGAGAAAAAATTTGCCAGATCCTTACACATTGAATGTTTGATTCAGAAAATAATGGTCCCATATTGATGAATTGGCTTGTTCTGAGTTGGAGTCTGTACTTTCCTTTTGCCATGAGTTAATCTAATACACTGAGAATGGGAGTACAGGAATCAAAGAAACACCACGACCAAGAAGTTCTGCAGCTAAGAGGCAAGCAAAAGTTGAAGAGGGAAAACCCAGACGCCTCCTAGGGCACAGTAGTAGCAGTCATGGCCAAGAACAGGTCTTGAAACCAGGAAACTGATTTGGTGCCACATAGGCTGCACCTTGTCCACTTTTTCCATCTGTAAACTGCAAGGCAGCATCTGCCCTGACCCTGTCTGAAGTCATTAAATCAGATGAACCAGCAGATGAGAAAAAAACTTATGACACTGTAAAAATTCAAATGATAAAAGTTCTGTAAGAAATAATGATCATGAACATTTTAATCATTTGCTATTTGAGTGATATAGCACTAAACTCTTCAAAACAATTTATTTATTTTTGTTGGGAAGGCTATTCACAGAGAGAGAGAGAGAGAGAGACAAAAAGATCTTCCATCTGCTGGTCCACTCTCCAAGAGGCTACAATGGCCAAAACTGAACCAATCTGAAGCTAGGAATTTCTTGCGAGTCTCCCACATGGGTGCAGGATTTCAAGGACTGAGCTATCATTGCTTTCCCAGACCACAATCAGGGAACCGAAAGGGAAGTAGAATAGCTGGAAAGTAAAACCGCACTCATATGGGATTCTGGCACTTGGAGGTGAAGGAATGGCCAATCAAGCCAATCAGTACTGCTCTCTACTATTACCTTCATAACAGCCCATGATAAATAGACTGTTATTACTTCTATTTTACAGGTGAGAAATTGAAGTATAGTGATCCAATCTAAAAGCAGCAATGCAGCAGCAGCCATGAGCACACCTACCTGCTAAATCGTGTCTTCTTTGCTAGCTTATTTTCTATTACTAAAACAAAATGCCGAAGGCCGGGTGCTTTGTAAGGAAAAGAGATTTAGTTAGTTCATAGCTCTTGGGACTCAAGGGCTTGACACCAGCAATGACTTGCCTTTAGTGAGGACCTAGTGGCAGATGGCCCTACGTTAGGGGCATATGTGTGAATGAGAGATCAGGTACAATAGCAAGTCAGAACATATGGTGTCCCTGAGAGCCACCTTAATCCCTTCTACGGGCGGCACCCCCAGGGACCTCACAGTCTCCCACTAGGCTCTGCCTCTTACAGGTCCCCCACCTCTTAATATTGTCACATGAGAGTCCAAGCTTCCAACAAAAACCTGTGGGGAACACATTTACCCTATGTTCAGACAATAGTCATTTCTAATTGTCACTATCCAATAACAATAACAAAGGCTCCTTGAAGAAAATGGCTGGTTCTAGGATGAGGGCAGGAAATTTGCAAAATGAGCCTAAGGTATCTTGTATTTCCAACAATAAGGAAGTACTCAAAGAACCTCAAAGAAAATTGGGTCCATATCAAGGAAACTTAGGGGACAATTATAAGAGCTCCAGACCATATTAGCACAATTTGAGCAACAGAACAAATCACAAAGCATGCAATAGTAACCCAAAAATATAAAATAAATACTCATGTGTGTATTTACATGAATGAATAATTGAAAACAATAATAAACGGAGAAAAGAGACAAATTTCCCGTGGAGCAAAATTTTACTTAATTAAAAAAAAAATTCTGCTTTTAAAAAGATGATCAAAATTTCCTATCTCTTCAGTGTTGGCAGCACATGGCAACTTCTTTCCAAAATGTGAAGTCTGGAAGGAAGGGGGAAAACAGTTAATTGAAGCAGAAATTGCTGGTGAACACTTAGCCAGGTAACCAGGCTATAATTTATAGTGAGAAATCATATTGATATTATGTGACCTTGATGTGCTATAATGGAAGCAGGTTTTTCCTCGCCAAAATTTTTTTAAGGTTTATTTTATTTTCATTACAAAGTCAGATATACAGAGAGGAGGAGAGACAGAGAGGAAGATCTTCTGTCCGATGATTCACTCCCCAAGTGACCGCAACGGCCAGTGCTGTGCTGATCTAAAGCCAGGAGCCAGGAGCTCTTCCAGGTCTCCCACACGGATTCAGGGTCCCAAGGCATTGGGCCATCCTCGACTGCTTTTCCAG